AAAAAAGGGTACCGGAAAAACTAGCGGTTAGCCGCGGTATTACCGCTCCGGTTACCGGCTCCCATTTCATACAAATTTACCGCTTTTCTAAAATTACCGCGGTTTACTGCAAAAATTGAAGCGGTATTCGCGACATGGGAAACTAATTCAATCTTATCAAAGTTCTCAAGCCATGCTGTTCTCAACTATAAATAAGATTAGATAAGTATAAAAATTGCTCGAGCAATTTACTAATATTAGCATCGATGATAATGAATAAACAAAAACTATTATAGAATAGGCTTATTCTATACTTAACATATCGATTCGATTTCAGCTCGATTCTTTTTTTATTGATGATCATGCCTGAAAATTTGAAAGCATGATCGTAAATTATATGTATTCGACTATATATTTTTCTTCCGCCATTACCTAGCTTGTCAATAGGCAATTTAGAGCATTCACTATATAGAAGATAGAAATAAATAAATCTGCTTTGTTTTTTATTTTAAAACCATGTGCAAAAACATACTTTTTTTTGTTTTATGCTCTTTTTATTGTCACACTCGGAAGTGCTTACAAAAACAGAGAAACATGGAAGGACGGGAGGGACAGGAAGTAACAAATAAAAGAAAAAAGAAGAAACAAAAAAAAGAAAAGTAAACAAAAAGGGAGAAACAAAGATAAAGATACATAAAGCAAATGAAAGCGGTAACGAGATGAACAGAGAATACAAGTAGCGGGAGTTATAAAGGTTAAGGTAGAATGTTAGAATGTTAAGGGGCTGTTAATAACTAGGATTTCGTGTTCCCTCTTTCCTATATTCCTAATTATCACTTTGTTCATTAAAATCAAGCCAGTCTAGGAGAAGGGAGCGGTGTTTTAACTTTAAACGTTTAACCCGTTTCAACATAAATAGATGGCCAACACCATCTTTAGCTTGCTTATGGAAATTATCCCATAGGAATACATCTTCAAGAAATAGGGAAGAACCTAAATCTGAAGAACACATATTTTTTAATCTTTTCGACATATAACGTTTGACATAAGTATCAAGCGGTTCTTCTCGGGTAAAACTCAAAAGGTCCTTAGCGCGAACAAATGGGGCACGGTGGACTAAGCGTATTGCTACTCTATACTTTCTTCTAAGTGCCTCTTGGTGTGTTGTTGGGAGAAAGGGGAAAAATGGAAAGATCCAAGCGAAATGGGGAAATATATACGCGAAGAAGCATCTTCTCAAAGTGTCTTTGAACAAAATTTTTCCGCTACGCAGCCATTTGAGCTTACCCAACGATCTTTGGATATTCTCCAGGGTTTTGTTTACAGTGGGTCTCAATGATAATTTACTTGTCCAAGTAAAACCAAGATACTTGAACGAATCTACAATGGGGATTTTCTGTCCTAGCATGTATATGTCTACCGTAGGCTTTCGAATTTGTGAGTAGAAGAGTTGTGCGATAGTTTTTCCGATATTGATTGGCTGTTTCCAGCGAATCGAATATTCAGCAATTTTATCGCATATTTTACTTCCTTCAACCTCTAAATACTCGACTAGGGATGAGAAGGATTTCTGGATGGGTGCTCGAATGAGCACGCTCAGAATGTCAGCGAAGATATGGCTTGAGTGGGCATCCAGACAAGCTACTCAATCGCTATGGTATACTACGAATATAAAGGGACTGAGATTACTGCCTTGGGGAAGGCCGACTTGTACTTGAAAAACTTCTGACTTTGTTTGGCCAGAGTAAATATACGCTGTACGGTTATTTAGCCAGCTATAAATCATTTTCAGTAGGTTAGTGGGTATACCTAACCTGTACAATTTGACCAAGAGACCCGCATGCAAAACTAAGTCGAACGCTTTCTCATAGTCGACATATATTGTAAGCGTAGGGACATTCGGAGCTAAATTATTCTGAACTTCCTGAAAAATGGAAAGAACCCTAGTCTGGAGAAGGCAGTTCGTTCTGAACCCTGATTGTTCACAGCTCGTTGCATTGAGATCAGTGTTTCCAATGGCAAGTGTATAAAGCAGAAGCAAAATGTACAGAACATCTGCTACTTTTGATTTACACTTTGTTGTACACTTTGCCAAAACAGTTTACACTTTGATTTCTTTGATCTCTGTACCTTAAAAGCTGCATATAGTATTAAATAAATTATATTTTGTCTTTTAGATTGTGAAAACTTGTTTTTTGCAATTGCGCATTGTACACTTTGCGGGAAAAAACAAAGTGAAATATACACTTTGCTCACACAATACAGTGTACTGTACATTTTGTTTTAGATTTCGATTGGAAACACTGATTGAGATCATTGTTGTATAATATTTCACTGGAATTACATTAACATTATCTGAGAGACGGAGACTGCGAAGAACAGCTATGTATCAAAGAATTGTATACGACAGTGAGATTTGTTTTCCTACTGTGTTTGATATTTTATGAAATGTTTAAATGCTTTATTGTTTTAGCCATGGTGTGTCTCATGATTTAGACACGACAATCACATGAATAAAAATAAGATGATTTTTAGTTGATTAGCATAAAATTTAAGATGGATCACTCTCTTCTTCTTTTTTCAGCAGATGTTATGTGTCCATGTAAAATAATTAAAGGAAAACTGTAGAATAGTTGACGTGATTAGACATCACACTTAAAAATTGAAACGAGAATGCTCAACTCATCACAGTATTTATGTCGCGATTACATTGTCAAATAAACTAGTAGTGATGACAACGAATTTTTCATTGATGATACTCTTCAAATAAAACATAGCTATATCAGTTCGTTAGTTGAAAGTAGATAACGAAAAAATCCTCGAACTAGTCAAGTAATTTATAATGAAAAGTTTTTAAAAATCTTGATAATAATACCCTAATAAATTGCAAGTTATTGAAAGAAGAATAATTCTTTTTTCATTTACTATTAATTTCAATGGAAAATAAATTGAGTTTTAAATTATTATACAGGATAATCAGTTTCGTAATTTATCTTTTCCATGATGCCACTATTTCAATAAGCACATACCACCATAGTAAAATGTGACGTTATTTTGTCAAAATTCTAAATTAATGGGTAAGAACAGGTAGTAAATCAAATAACAAAGCATAGTTGCAAAGGGTGCACGTAGATTTAATTAGAAATTTAGCTATAATTATCTGTGAAGATAGATCACAAACAGTTTGTTTCGTGAGTTCTTTCTAAAATATTTTTTATGCTCTTCGAATACAATCATATATCTATTGGTTATATCTTTATTTGCATCTTTTTTGCATTTTATATTATTGTGGAATAAGGAAAATTTGTTTCTGGTGGGAATAAATGATTTGCATATATTTCTATTGATTTTCGATCTATCTAATTAAGCTTAAAATAAATGTGGAAACTTCGGGTTTCATCCGAGAGTTATGTGTACTGCTTATAAGTGCATGGGACATATGAGTTATTCTAGAATGTCTGAACACCAAAATTATCATGAGAAACTAGACTATTTGATTTTTGGATGCAGTTTTTGTGCATTTTGAGACGTTCTTCAGGCGATGTTTCATTAGAAAGCTACAATTTAGTTCAAAACTAATATCAGATTCGGAATCAACGTTAAAAACTGAGTCGATTTATATATGTTGCCAATAATTCTGAGAAAAATCCCTGTGTCCCTCCTCAGGGATGGTCTGATCAAAAATGACAATTTTTTCGGTAACTCAGTCATTTCTTGACAGATCCTTCTCATCTTCGAACTCGGCCTAGATATTGATGAGACAATTCTGCGCACAAAATTTCAGCTCAATGGAATGTAATTGTGAAGAGCTATCGAATAAACGGACGGCCGGATACACTTACCGATTTTTACTAGTGTACTCACTTTTTGAGTACACAAAAAGGATAAACCGACTAGATAATACTAAAGTTCTCATGTTATTCATAATCTAGGTCTTCAAAAAAAAAAACATCAGCTAATTTTAAATGAATAAATATCATCGGCAAAAACAATGAATATTCCAACATAATTGAATTGAACTAGATCATAAAAAATAGTCACTATAGCAAACTAGTAACCTGCAAGAAAAACAAATATGCATATTACCATTTAATACAAGTCAAATTAAACTTTTCTAGACTGTTGAGCAAAGTAATATCGAAGTAAAACAAAGATTCGTATTATTCATCGGTATTCAATGGTACCGATGAAATGAAAAAAGAAAATAACAAGAATTTAAAATGGTATTTACATGTAAAATGTCAAAGTGTGCATAAATAGTTGAATGCAATCTTTTTCGTTCGATAATCAACTACTGATATAAAGGTAAAGAAAACGTATTTATCTAGCTATTAAATATTTTCCCTAGAAAATCCATTGCAATGATAATTTCTTCGTATTAAATTAACAAGGTCACATTTGTATTATGCTTCGTGATTATTTTGTGTGTATATCTAGAGAGAAAAATTATATTTTTCTTCGTTTTCTCGATCAATAGACACCAAACATCAAGCATAACTGCATAAAATGCTGCATGCATTTACTCAATATATCAAGATTGAAAAGAAAAATGACAGCGCTATTCGAAAAAATTTCCTCCGGTAAGAACGTGTTCGATCATTTGACATTGTTATGAATTACCTTTATGGGGAAAAAATGGGTTGACAATGCACAAACTACAGCGATTCAAACAAAATCTCACCTATGCGATGATTGTAATAAACGTGACTAGTGTTTTATTATAAATAATGTTCTTTCGTTTATTTATTCTTGACAAAGTAAACAGCAATAGATTAACATTCATAAATAGAGCCAAAACCTTCTTAACGCAGTAAATAAAAGTAAATTATGGTACAAATTTATGAGTCTATACTCCTTGTCAATATGTTCGTCTATCGCTGGATTGGTGTATGCATTAAAAAATATCTGTCACATCGTTATGCGTTCTTTTTTTTCTAGCTAGGTATTGACTGAGAACCATCATCTAGAGAAAAAATAACTTTTTGTAGATATTTTTATTATTAATATCGAATCTATCGAGCATGTCGAGTGAAAATGATTGGAACGGTAAGTTAAAATTGATACTGTAAAGATATTTATGATACTTGCATATTGTAGAGGATTTATGCGGTTGCATGAATGATGGTGGTACATGCTTGTATGGATTTTGTTGCACACCTTGCTTATTCGGTGCAAATGCCGAGAAGATCTCTGAGAAAAATTGTTGTTTAATGTGTTGCCTTTATCTAGTTCTTGGCAGTGTTTATTTATGCTGGGTACCACATTATTTTGAACGACAAAAATTACGTGAAAAATATAACTTAAAATCTAATCCATCGTGTGGTGATTGTCCAACGACATTACTTTGCAGTCCATGTGCATTGTGCCAAGAAGCTCGTGAACTCAAAGCGAGAGGTAAATTATGAATAATTATTTTTGCGAAACTTTTTATTTTGATTGAATAGAAAGTGTACAACGTTCAGCTTTGAAAGCCAATAATAATCAGCCGGTTGTTTCACAACCAGAAGCAAATTCTGGCGAGGCCGATCATGTGAACATGCGAGTGTAAAACAAATGAAAATTTATCACATCATTGGAACAAGTCGAAGTGACTTTTTTCGTTTTCATGTGAAACTATCTTTTATTTTAAAATGAATAAAAAAAAATAGCAGTTGTAGTTTTCTTCAATTCAGTCGATTTTATTTAGTTGACATCTGAAAAATCTAGGTTAAAACAAATATAAAAGTTATCGCCCCCCTGGAAGCCTTGACAATACTAATTAGGATCAATTCTTTTATCATCATTCTCGAGGGATTGGGTCTGAGAATAAACGCTTGTTTCATACTGAATTGTATGTATAACTATATAGAAATCCGATTTATGTTGTGAGAAAGATATTGAAAAATTGACGAAAACGAATGAAAACCATTGATGCTGTCAAGGGAAAACGAGATCCTAACGCTGAGCGTGAATCATTAAAAGAAAGCGGAAGATTTCAAAACAAGAATTGATTAAAATAACTGAAATGTTAAAAGAATAGAGCATAAAACTGATTACAACTATGAACAGAAAGAAAGTTTATTGTATTAATGTTGTTGAAATACTTGTCATAGTAACTAGTAGTGCTAGAATAATTGCTTTCGCAAATCAATCGATTCAAAATAAAGGAAAATTATAATAATGATAAAAAAATATCAGAACACAATTAAGATTTTCTCGGAACATAAAAAAAATCATGGAAGTAAAAGTTTTGTAAAATCTTGTTCATATAGGCCAATTAAAGTAGAATACTTTTATATTTACTTCTTGTGAGGTATTTAAATAATAATTTCTTCATGACAGGTATAAAAAAAACTGTATTGAGAATAAAGATTCTGTCAGCAGATGTTGAAAGACTCGAATGCGATCGACAAAAGACGTTGATGTATAGATCTGTGAAAACGTTTCCGACAACAACAGAGAAGAACATTCATAAAAAAAAACTTTTTATGATCAACTAAAAATTAGCTGGGATAATGCATTTGTGCCAGATGGGTTTCATTTATAGTGCAATTGAAAGTTTTATAATAAAAAAAAAGAATTCCTCGATACTACGATCCACTAGCAAAATTTTCCGTACTGCTTTCATAGATCGATAGGGAGCTAGTTTAAATCTAGTATATCATTATAAGCACCTATAGATATATGTAGAGCATTTTAGCAGATAACAAACTAACATCCTAATGCAAAATTTTCGGTAGGCCTAAAACCGCAATTTTTTTGGCATGAATTATTTTCACATGCAAATGAAAGCTGTTAAACTGAAAATAATAAAACAAATGGGCTTTTTAAATCAATAATAGATATTGAAAGATTGAAAGTCTCAATAAATTAATGAAGTGCGAATAATTTGTGATCGTAATCATTTTGATGGAATGAATCTGATTGCCTCAAAAGGCACAATATGAAAACCCCATGACCACTCACATTTTGGATGCATATAGAAACTAAATAAGGGCTTGCCTTACTATTAAACAACTTGTTAGGAAAAGCAAGAAACTGATTATTAGTATTCGTTGACATCCAACGATTTCGTCAATAAAAGAAATACATAATTTTAAATGATATCATATTATAACAAATGTTTATCTAGCTGGTCACATTATTTCATTCAATGTAATTTTCTTTGTTGAGAATAATCCCCGTACATTGTGCATGGGTGCTTTTTCTTTTTTCTATCATGTGCAGAGAAGTCCATGATATTCCCCAATTCTACAGAACATCTATTTAACTAGATGGCCGTATATGATATAAGTTTTATTTGGCGAGATTTTTAAAAATTTTGTTTTGCTCCAATTATTTTAGAACTAATTCTCTGAATTAAAAAGAATACTTGATTGTCATTGGAGATACAACGCAAGCATAGCCTTTTCAACTCAGCGAACAAGCATGCATTCATGAAATTTGCAATTAGTGATATTATCATGAAAAAAATTTTATTTGTTCTGTGTGAATACACAAAAATCAACCGAGCGTAGCCCCACTGTATCCTACGCCGGTCTGTTTCAGGCTACTACAAAATCGAAAAAGTGAAAAAACCTTGTTTTATAACTGTTTTTTTTTGTGTTAAAGTGTACTTAATCATTCTTTAGTCTTGTATGTTGCTTTCATAACAAAATTATACTTACAATTTATGCGTTATAACGACCGACAGCCGCTTTGACGGATGCATGAATTCGGAGAAGTATTACTAGTTGTTGGTTTTGTTTTAAATATTCAGTGATTCTTTTGAAATAAATGAGTTTGATACGCGGTAAATATTAATGAGAATAAAAATGTCTTGAGAAAAAAAGGGTAATTAAAAATAGAGTATCAAAAAATGTATAATTTTTTTCTTTTTCTTCTTACCCTTTTGTATCGGTCAATGTGTCTATCAGTAAAGAAATGCTAGCATCTCTATGATTTTTTCCTAGGTCATTATTAATTATGCATCATAATCTAAATAATAAGAACTTTTCTAGGCTTTTTTAATTTTCAAAACTTAACCGAACGAACATGGAACAAGAATGGAAAGGTAAGTGACAAATAGTAATTTAACTTATATGATACTTGTATATTTTAGAGGATGTATTCGATTGTTGCAGTGATTGCCCTGTATGCTGCTATGGTTGGTGTTGTACAGCTTGTTTGTTCGGTTCAAATGCAGAGCAAATCTCTGGCAAAAATTGCTGCTTAATGTGTTGTGCTTACCAAATTTTGGCTCTCTGTGCTTTATGTTGGGTACCACATTATTTTGAACGACAAAAATTACGTGAAAAATATAATTTAAAATCTAATCCATCGTGTGGTGATTGTCCAACGACATTACTTTGCAGTCCATGTGCATTGTGCCAAGAAGCTCGTGAACTCAAAGCGAGAGGTAAATCATGAGTAATTACTGTTACGAAATTCACTCGGTTTTTCTTCTTTAGACAGTGAAAAGCAAGCACTAAATAAAAACTCTACTGATAGTAAGCCGATTCTTTCGCAACCGCTGTCGTCAGAAAAGAAAGACGATCAATCTGCTGGTACGAAAAATTAAAGTAAATTAAAATAAACACCTTCATCGGATTAACCTTAAAGAAACGTTTTTTGAATTTCACAATATTCCTGTTTTTTTTTCTCGTTTTCGAAGCAAGACACATTTTAGTTCACTGTACACAAAACCAAACAAATACAGATGCGGTCACTTTTATTTAATCAATTTTTATTTTATATCGTGAAAAACTTTGGTGAATATGAAATTAATAAATCTGGCTTATGGAAATATTCAGAATAGTTACTCTATGAAAATTTATAATAATTTCTACTGTTCCTGAAAACAAACAGGATTATCAGTGAATCAGCAATAGTTTGGCACAGGTGATACAACTTAAATTTCATTAAATCTACTCGGAAAAGTTTTAGATATCAGTATCGAAAACCATCGTTTTTGTTTTTATTTGATTTATCGGATGATAAGCACAACGATATTTGTTAGAACGAAGCTATTGCCACAAGTTACTCACAGAAATATGTTTGACGTTCAATAGAATAGACTAGCATAGTTTTGAAAAACTAATGAAAACTATTATTTTTAGAGATTTGACTTTTGAATAAAAAGAAATCATCTTGTACAAACATTTTGTGAAACATTCTACAAGCTAATCATAGAAATAATCGAATAATTTTACCTCGTCTCACGATTGATTTGATTTTAGAATAAATATAGCGGCAACTCGTATTTTTAATGATACAACGATCAATTAATTTGATAGAGCAGGTAGATCTCCATGGCTGCATGCACAATATTAGGATGGACATCGATTATGTATATTTTGTTTTTGTTAAAGACGCTATCTTCTACATTTTTAATACTCAAGAAAACGAGCTATTATTTAAAATGTCTAGTAACAAAGATGATTGTCAGCAAAACTCAATGTTTTCCTTCATGAAAGATGATGCATCAGTAGACCTTCGTGTTGGATCGATACAGAGAACCGTTTTGTAGAAGCCAACAATATATTGGGTTTCATTTTCCAATCGCTATGTTTACTCAATGGTTTCGATAAAGCCTATCATACAAGTATTTGAATATTTATTTTTTCCAGAATGTAAAAGACTACATCAATCAATTGACTCCAACAACAGAAACTGTTGCAATGATTGTTTCTCTATTTCTATTATATTTTGATAAATATGATTTATGAGTCTCTTTAATTACTATTATGAAAGATTCAGTACATTTCTATTTTAACAATTAGCACACTTCGTATTTGCTTTCAGGAACAATTTGCCTCTACATTCTCTGTAAGAGTATACAAGGGAATATGCTTTTTTGCTCGATCATCATTATTGTCTAAACTCTACGATAGATCCAGTCCATACTAAAAGCTAATTGTGACATCTTGTTTTTATACCCGCGAAGCAATTAAAAACTGTGCTGCCAATAATAAGACCCGTTTAAAGTTACTCAAGTTTGTTATTATAATGTTTTGTCCATTGTTCTATCTTGATAATAAAACGGAAGCCATAGAAATTAGTTGAAACTAGAGTCCTGCAGGTTAAGACTTTTTTGTACCCTAACCCTGCCCTATCGTAAAACTTCGTACCCTTGTCCTACCCTGCCCTACGACGTTCTTACCCTAGCCCTACCCTGGCCTATAGACTTCGTAACCTTGTCCTACCCTGCCCTAGGGGCTTTGTACCCTTACCCTACCCTATCACAGAGATTTTTCATTTTACACCCTATCAGATCCTTAGAGTTTCAGGTCCAAGTAAAAGTCAGCATGAAGTTTTTCTTCATTTTGTTTCAATATATTTTATTGATTTTCAACGAGAATCAAATACA